GTAGTTGTAGTCGTAGTCGTAGTCGTAGTCGTCGTAGTCGTAGCAGTAGTAGTAGTAGTAGTAGTAGTAGTAGTAGTGGTAGCAGTACTAGTAGTAGTAGTAGTAGTCGTCGTCGTCGTCGTCGTCGTCGTCGACGTAGTAGTAGTAGTAGTAGTAGTAGTAGTAGTAGTAATAATAATAATTTTCGTAGTAGCAGTAGCAGTAGTAGCAGTAGTGGCAGTATTAGCAGCAGTAGCCGTAGTAGTAGAAGAAGTAGCAGTAGTACTAGCAGTAGTAGAAGCAGAAGTAGTAGTAGTAGTAGTAGTAGTAGTAGTAGTAGTACTAGCAGCAGCAGCAGCAGTCGGGTAGCTGTAGAGGTAGGAGTCGTTGTAGTTTCGTGGCGGTGGTAGTGGCTGTTGTGTGATGCAAGGCTGCAGCTACCATTGTGAACGAAATATATAATCGTGGCTACTCCTCCGACCCGAGCCTCACTAAACCGTCTGAGGCATGTGAGTCCTCCTCGTGCATCCAGGTGACGCTCGTGGAAGCGGCGCAAAGCCCGGCCAACAGCCTGACGAAAGCAGCAGTCAGATGTTCTACTGCTGTTCTTCTGTGCATCACTACTACCAGTAGTACCAAGCATATCATTCATGCTGTGTTCCTACGAGCATGGAGAAGCTGGCCACAATAAGAATGTCCTTCTGCTCATGATGACAGCAAATGAGATGATGATGGTGATGCAGTACAAAAAGATGATTGTGGTCATGACCATGACCATGAACAAAAATAGAACGACGATGCTGATGCTGGTGGCTGGTGATGATAATGATGCTCGTGCTGCTGATGATGCTGACGATGATGATGATGATGATGATGATAACGACAAAGGATGATGAACAGATGAAGCAGATGACGATGATGGAGATGGTGATGTTGATGAAAATCACGATGACGATGATGATGAGGATGATGAGGATGAGGAGGAGGAGCAGGAGGAGGAGGAGGAGGAGGAGGAGGAGGAGGACGAGGAGCGGGGATGATGAGGAAGAGGAGGATGAAGGTGAGGATGGTGATGAGGGGGAGGATTACGATGATCGTGATGATGATGCTGATGACGGTGATGATGACGCTGATAATGACGGTGATGATGATGGTGGTGATGATTATGGTGGTGATGATGATGATGATGACGGCGACGATGGTGATGATGATGATGATGATGTTGATAATGATGATGATGATGGTGATGGTGATAGTGATGATGATGCTGGTGGTGGTGGTGGTGATGATGATGGTGGTGATGATGATGCTGACGACGACCACGATGCTGATAATGATGATGATGATGATGATGATGGCAGCAAATCTGATAATGATTAATGATGCTGATGATGATGTTGATGATGAGATGATGACGATGATGGCGATGGCGGTGGCATTGGCGGTGGCGGCGCGGGTGGTGGTGGTGGTGGTGAAGATGGCTTTGAAGACGGTGGTAGTGATTGTCATAACCATCATGATTGTGGTGATGATGATGATGATGATGATGATGACGACAACGGAGGAGGCGGCAGAGGCGGAGGAGGAGGAGGAGGAGGAGCCGTAACAGTAGGGTGGGGGTGGGGGGGTGGGGATAACGACGACACGCTTCCGCGCACGTGCATGTTGCTCGGTCGTTACGGTACTTCCGTAATGTCCCACCACTGCTTGTTGCCTCAAATGGGGGAGTGGCTAGTAGTGGTAGCAGCATCAGCAAGACACTTGTTTACAAAGTCGTTGTAGTAGCAACTCTGCCAAAACAACATGTGCAGAAAATCCGACATGCCAGGAAGTCCGATTCGTCCAACAAGCAGCTCTATGTATCATGTGCAAAACAGGAAAGGGAGCAGGCCTCCATAGCTGCGCAAAGCTGCGGCACCTGGTTCGCCTTGAGTAGCTCAGAAATATGTGATTCATGCTGCACAACCAACTTTGAACTTCCGATGCATCCACCCAAACTGCGCGCATCGAAAAGCAGGGCCCCTCGAGCCAGCTGGCGTAGAACTTGGTGGCAACGTACTCGCACAGCCTGCAGGCAAGGCTTGCTGCGGCTGGGGAAGAGCAGTGAGCTTCCATCTGTTGATGTAGGGCTCAGGCACCGTTAGGCCACAGAGGGACGCACAACGATCCAACCCTCCGACACGTCAACAACTACTACGCGACGTATCACCTACATCATGTCATGTACTATACAGTTCTAAGATGTAATATGACCCCATTCTAGTTGTACCTCCTTCGAGGCCTGCCTCTCGCCACGGCTCTTTTTCATCACGATGAGGTCACTGACCGGGCGGCGGTCTGCGCCTGCCAGCACTTACTGGACCCTCGGGGGCCTGAATATTTAGCATAGGGTTTTGTATAATGTTTTTGTATACTCGCAGAATCCTAATCAGAAGCCCTAAACTATCCTAGGTTACTCGGGCTTCTGTCCACAACTATTAGACCGTGCGGCTGAAACGCTGCGTCGTGAGATTGAAACTGAGGACTTGGGCGGAGGGAGGAGGTTCAGGGTCTTGGTAGCATGGACTCCGACTTGCGGATGTGCTCTATGGCACAAGAGAGTTCATCTAGGGCCAGGGCATCTGGTTAAACACGAAACCTGAAACCCTAAACCCTTAGCTTAGCTTAGCTTAGCTTAGTATAGGGGCTTCAAACTTCGTGAGGTTTAGGGTTTAGCGGTTGGGGTCTACGGCTTCGGGCGTCAGAGAGACTGTGCAGTCAAACGTGCCCCAGCTATCTCGCGGCATTCCGACCAGAGTTGTTGACCCCAAGTCGTTGATGGGCAAGCCGCATACATCTGGCGACTTTGACAGCTAGAACAGGGTTTTCGGATAGACTGTACTACACTTGTTGCAGGAATAGAAAAGGAATGCCAGTACTAAGCATTCAGACCCCTACTGATACACTTGCAACTTCTCTTCATCCCTCTCCCAAGCCGCGGATCTTCAGCTCGTTTGCAGGGAACCTCCAAGCCGTCTCTGACTGACAACTCCCTGAACAGGGTTTAGGGTTTAGGGGCTACTTCTCGCCCAAATCCATCAATTTCATGCTTCTGCCCCGACACCTTCTGAACCCCAAGCTTCCATCCCAACTCCCCCCAAACCATAACTTCTGTAATAAAGCCCCTACAGTGTACCCAGAAACCTAACACCCTCCCGAAACCCCGAAACCCTAAAACCCAAAACCAAAAAAAAAAAACTAAACCCTGAACCCTCAAAATCCTAAACCCCTCAACACCCAAAACCCCAAACCCCAAACCCCCCGAAAACCCGAAACTGAAACCCCCAGCTTCCGTGGCCTACGCAGCTCAGGATCTTCCTAAGTTGTGCCGCCGGTCTCGGGAGGTTTACTTAGGGGGGTTTAGGATCTTAGAGGTCTAGGTCTAAGGGTTTAGGGTTTAGGGGTTTAGGGGTTTGGGGTTTAGGGTTTGGGATTTCGGGTTTAGGGTTTAGGGTTTGGGGTCGTTTCGGGTTTCGAAAACAGTTGGCTCTGTAAGAAACGCCAAGAAACACTGGAAAGGCGACCGCGGGGTCCTGGGTGATCCTGAGCCACTCAGCGGAGATCAGAAGCTGTTTTGGTGTGCTAGGGCCTTGATTCGCCGGTATAGGGTCAACTGTCCATGTCCATTGCTCAAGCAGGCATGTGCATTGATTGCAGCAGCACATCCCAAGACGAACGATTCTTGCTCAGAAAGCACCGACGTGTCAAGCACCGTGCTAGCTTTGCCATGAGATTTGCGGGCGGAAGGTCTCTGGGTGCTCTTTCACCACCCTGATGAAGTTCTCGGCTTCGGTGAGGACATTGCTGGCAACGCGTGCGCACCTGCCCACGACCACCGCCAACATGCAGTGCTATCGCAGCAACAACAACTCCAAAAAAAAGCAGCGGCTGCAGGAGGAAGCGAGGGAGCAAGAGGAAGATGATGATGAAGGAAGAAGATCAACAACAGCAACAACGACTGCAGTAGTAGAAGTATCAACTTAATGAGGAAAACTTGTCCCAGCAACCATGCATTTCCATTGATCTCTCATTGCAAAGTTGCTGAAGAAGTCGCAGTCCCCGTTCCAGGCCCGGTACTCCAGCCACCCAGCACCAGTGCTCCATCTCTCGAGGAGCAACGAAGCCCACCAGACCATGTCTTGCTAGCGTGCGGCGCATCAACAAGCAATATCTCACCTTCTATCGACTTCAACTGCCGAAACCCTTAGCTGGCGAACTTGAAGCTCTTCAGCCCTGGCCCCATCTCGCCTCACTTGCTTCAGGACCAGCTCGGCCCCTCCACTCACCAGCCAGATGCCTAGGTTCAGGCCGCCCTTGAAGCCAGACATCGCCTGCGAAGAAGCTTGCAAAATCCTTGAAGCTTCGAGTCTTTGGGGTTAAGAATCGACAGATTCGGAGAGGGACACAATAAAAAAACAGGGGTGAGAGTCCTGGCACTTACCCCGAACCCTGAACACTGAACGCTAGGAGTTTGAGGGCTCTTGGCAACAAGACGACGGCGCTCAAGGCATCTTGCGGGGTGCTTTCCCGGAACGGAGTACTACAGGGGCCTGCCGCTATTGGCAACAAGGGAACGGCTGTACTTTCCGGCATGGACGTCAGACCGATCAGTACGAGAGGCCGAGACGACGGTACTTCAAATGAGAGTTTCAGAAACAAGTTCCTTGTTGTAAGTACGGAAACAACCAAATCTGATTCTTTTGTAGGTCAATCCCCAAGGCTGCGGGATGGGGATATCTCAGTGGTTGGCCATGACACTACTGCATCTGCCAACACCAACCGACATCACAACATCAAATCCCTGAACGCCTAAAGCATCTTCTGGCCACTAGCGACCTGCTCTTACTAAGGAGAGCTTTGTCTTCGTAGTCGCAGGAGCAATAGTAGCAGCAGCAGTAGCAGTAGCAGGAGAACACTAAGTGGTGGTGGTGGTGGTGGTGGTGGTGGTGGTGGTGGTGGTGGTGGTGGTGGTGGTGGTGGTGGTGTTGGTGGCGGGTGGCGGTGGTGGTGGCGGTGGCGGTGGCGGTGGCGGTGGCGGTGGCGGTAGCAGTAGCAGTAGCAGTAGCAGTAGCAGTAGCAGTAGGAGTAGGAGTAGGAGTAGGAGTAGGAGTAGGAGTAGGAGTTTGAGTAGGAGTAGGAGTTTGAGTAGGAGTAGGAGTAGGA